TCACCTTGCTTGCTCCCATGATTGCCTGAGCTTTTTGCAGTGTCCAGTATGCAGCTAGGGCAGTTTGCTCACAGATTCCCAGCTTGGTTTTTGGAGTCGTTAATGCTTTGCTATAATAAGCTACAGGTCTTTCCCCAGCACCAGTATCCGGTGTAAGCGCACTAACAATACAGACATTCTTAACACTAGGGTACAAAACAAAGGGGAATTCGTTATTAGGGGCGGCTATGGTAGGTGCTTCCATTAACCCTTTTTTCAGGCTTTCCCATGTGTTAGTTGCCTCCTCTGTCCAAGTCCACTGTGGTCGTTTAAGTACCTCATACAGAGGACCTGCTTTCTCTGCATAACCAACCATAAATTCTCTGCAGAAGTTAGTGAGTCCCAAGAAAGACTGCAAAGATTTAGTATCCACTGGCACAGGGAGGTTAACGATACACTTAACCCTTTCCTTATCTACAGATCTTCCCCCTGCACTGAGCCGAATTCCAAGGTATTGCACTTCTCTTTGTTTGAGCTGGAATTTAGAGGGGTTAAGTTTCAAGCCGTATTTTCGGCAGCTAGTCAGCAGCCGCCGCATTAACGCTTCGTGTTCTTGCTCTGTTTCACTGACTATTAAAATGTCATCTACATACTGGACTATTCTTCCCGTTTGTAACAATCCCTCCTTTTCTAGCCTATTTCTCACTACAGTATGAAATATTGTGGGTGCGTCACAGTACCCCAGAGGCAAAACATTGCAACAGTATTGTACACCCTGGAACACAAAAGCTGTTCTGTATTGGGACTCTGGGTTTAAAGGTAAACTCCAAAAGCCATTTGCCACATCGAGTACTGAGAACCACTTCATATCAGGGGTTACCACCTCCAATAATTCTGGGTAGGCAGCCACCAATGGTGCTCCCTGTTTGGCAGTTCTGTTTAATCCCCGATAGTCAATAGTTAATTTCCATGTTCCATCAGGTTTTCTAACTGGCCAGATTGGTGCTGCATTAGGTGCCGAACACCTTCTAATTAAGTTTCGTTTTTCCAATTCTTCTATTACTTGTCGTAAAGATTCTTTTGCTTCCTGAGGGATTGGGTATAGTTTTATGTATGGGGGTGTATCCCCTTCTAAAGTGACAGAGGTCTGCATTTCTCCCGTATCTAGGGAGTCAGCTGTCCCGACGGCTCGAATCTCAGCCCACCAACCTTCCCAGCCTTTCGGCGAAGGAGGTGGCTGTTTAGATGTTATTGCTTTTACCGTCTGCGTAGCAAGCCCCATAGGGATCAGGTTAGTGTCATTTGAATCTCCCGTTACAGTCAGAGTTTGTCTAATACACATATTTGGAAAATCCAGGATTAATCCCAGTCGCTTAATTTTTTGTGCCCCAATTAAGTTTTCTCTCCCTGTGATAGCACACTTCTCCTGAATGGTATGTACACCAAACTGGAGAGGGAGGGTTTTAACATTATATGTTTGCTTAGTTCCTGATATGCCCTGGATCTGAACGGAATCCCCGACTGGATGGAAGCTGGGTTAGTACAACAGAATACTGGGTCCCGCTATGGCTACAGTAAAGGTGGAATGGCTTTCCCATATCCAGTAAGCCCAGGCTGGGGGCGGAGGCTAAAGCCGGTTTTATTTTTATAAATGCCGCCTCTTGCTCTGTGCCTCATATTACTAACTCATTTGCAGGCTTTCCCCCTCTAGTGAGGTTTTGAATTGGTTCCACCATCTCTGAGTACTCCGGTATATAGGTTCTACAGAAATTAAGGAGTCCCAGGACCTTTCGGACTTCCTTAACTGTCCAGGGTTTCTTTAACCCTCAAATTGCTTGCTTTCTGTCTATTGTGAGTGCCTTTTCTCCCTGTGATACGTTATGCCCTAGGTATAAAACTTGCTGCTGTTGCAATTGGGCTTTCTTCGGGCTTAATTTAAATCCTGCCTCGCGAAGATGCATGAACAGTCTGTTTAGGGTTTTTAAATGGTCCTTTTCATTTGAACTGGCAATTAGCAAATCATTTATATACTGCAGTATCACAGTATCCCCTTCCAAAGGCACTTGTGCTACTACTTCTGCCATTATCCTGTGGAATATGGAGGGAGAATTATGGAACCCCTGAGGTACTCGGGTCCCAGTGTACTGCTGGTCTCCTACTGTAAATGCAAATTTCTTCTGACTCTTCTTTGCAAGGGGAATACTCCAAAATCCATTAGCTACATCGAGGACTGAAAATACTGAATGTTCCGGTGTTAGCAAATTAAGAATAGTGGCAGGGCTTGCCACAATAGGATGTGCCTTTGGAGTCACCCGGTTAAGGTGGGTGTAGTCTATAGTTAAGCTCCAGGTCCCGTCTGGCTTTCTGACGGGCCAAATTGGGGAATTAGTTGTGGAGGTGGTTTTTCTAATCACCCCTCTGGATTCCAAATGAGTGACTATATCTTTAACTGCATCTAAGGCGTCCGGTTTAATTGGGTACTGCCTGTGGGCTCTGTGAGTTGGTCCTTCTACAGATATAGGCTTCATGTTTACTAGCCCACAATCTTGTTTATCTGTTGCCCACACTTCAGGGTGAAGGGAACACAGGGTTTCTACTGGGCTCTCCCCCCACTCTGGTATTATTACTTTATTACTGGCAATTATGGCTATATTTTGAGATGATCTTTCCTGTTTGGACCCTTTGGCCCATTCAATGCAGCTAGCTCTGGGGTTGATTACTCCCCTGAGCTCCTTTTACAACTACTGCATGTTTTGATTTTATTTTTATGTTTACAGGCACGTGCCAGATGTCCAGGCTTATTGCATGTGAAGCAGATAGTGGTTCTGACTGCATGAACCGCTACAATTTCTTCGGAGGGTGTGGTTGCTGCTACCTTCCTCTTTGTTCTGTTTTTCTACTTCTGTAGCCCATTTCATTACTGCTGAGTATGTCTCCCCCACTGAGATGCCTAATGCCAGGACTGCTTGGTGATCTGCAGACAGCCCTTCCTTTAGGATTTGAAGGAATACTTCATGGTCTTGGGATGTTATATTCTCCAGACCTGAATAAGCTCGGAATGCATTCCATTTCTTTTCAGCATAGGACATGGCAGACTCCCCCTTCTGCTGAACCACAGACTGCAGAACCCCCCAGTTAGTGGTCTGGGCTCCTAGAACAACAGCTAGTGCATTCCTAAATTCTGTTACAGTGCCTGCGTCAGGGTTTGGGATTCCTGCTGGTTCTTCAGCCTGATCCCCTCCCGCTGGGTTGGGGTTACGATCTTCAGCCCAGCGCCCTGTCTTTCATTTATTATCTAGATTCTCCCACACATCCCTGGGGCACTTGCACTTGACCAGGATGTGAACGTCCTTCCTATGGAGGCCATGTATTTCTGTCAGGCCATCCAGCTTGTTCCAGAACTCAGTATTCTTGTTATCACGCTTGAGTTCGGGTAAATCAGACAGTAGTGCCTGTTTTTCCTGGGGGGTGAAGGGATGGTAAATTTCAGTTGTTTCTGTTCTAAGTCCCCTTACTGGTTCACCCTCCGTGTTAACATTTCTGAACCTCCTTAGCTGTGTTTTGATTGGAGCCATAGGCTGTTCTTGCTCCCCTGGGGTAATTAATCCTTGTGGTGCTCCTTTATTATCTCTGTGGGTGCTTAAATTTGGCCTGTCATGT